AATCTTTTGTGTACTCCGAGGAAGTGGGGCTGTAGTCCACGAAAGCTTATGCTCTAATAAATTTGTTAGTCTCTAAGGTGCCACAAGTACTCCTGTTCTTTGTTCATTTTAAGCAGAGTTAGTTAACCAGAGTTAAGAGCTCATCTCTTGTTGCAGAGAAGCCATACAGAGCCTTGTGCCTCCAAGTGCTAACTGGGAGATAACAGTAGTTAACTCATCACTGTGTTGTTCATTTAGATCCGCGCACCGCTTTGAGATCCTCAGATGGGAACGTAGTATACATGGGTAAAATATGACTATTTTTCTTTGTGGGCAGCTTAGTAAAGCACTGTCACCAACCCTCAGGATTTTATCATGAGATTCGTAATATCTGATGTTTTATTTAAAGCCCCAGCTCCCGGAGACAAGAGGTTACACTTGAATCTCAGCACCTTTAAAAAAAAAAACGCTTCTAGCCCTTGCGATTCTGAAGAAAAAGCTTGAAATGTGGCCTGAGTGAATCATAAAGGCTAAAAAGCCCCCAAAAATAAAGAAAAAGCATCTAAAGTGAAGTTTCTTGGTGGGGGGGAGGTGTCTTGATTTTTTGAAACCCATTTAATGATTTTTTGGACCCTGACTCATGATTTTTGAACCTCTGGGGTAAGCCATAGTGGGAAAGGTGCCACGTACAAGTACAGTGGACCACTAAAGAGTTCATTCTAATCTTAGAGATTTTACAGGTATCAGTGCTGTTCCCTGTACTTAAAATGGGAAATAACTGCTAGAACAAATGTTTTATTTCGAAACTGTAATGTACCTTTGTGTGTGCCCGCTGTATATTTATTATGTGCTTATTTTCAAAAAGAAAAACAAATAAAAGTTATTTTCTTCTTATTTCGGAACCCTACTGAATCTTGGTTTTATGTTATATTATTTCATCCACTAATAATTAAGGGTCAGATCCTATAGGCTTTTCTAGGGAAAAATTCCCACTCAAATCAATGGGAACTTTGCCCACGTGTGTGTGTGTGGTGTGGGGGGGGGGGGGCTGCTGTCTAGTGCCCCCTTCAGGACTATGGGTGGTACTGCACATAGTCCCTGCTTTAATCTGCAAAGTTTGGCAGCCAGTCTGGGGCAGGGTAGCCTGTGCTGTGAGCTTGGCATCAGTCTTGCTATGAGTCTTGGCATCTGCCCCAGAACAAAAGCAAGCAAGCCTTCTTAACTGACCTGGTGGTTCTTGATTGGTCAGTATTTTCTCCTGGCCTTTCTAGGCTTTTGGAGGACTGTCCTATTTGTCACCCAGGCTGAGTGGATTTTCCTTGGGTGGGGAGTGTCAGGTCACTAATGCCTCCAGCAGGGGGCACAGAAGACCTGATAGACCTTGTCACACTGTGTGAGGATTGTAGGATCAGGTTCATTGTATTGGAAACCATTATTGTAATACACTAAACATGAGGAAACAATGAGGAGTTAATGTGTGGAACAGATGTGAAGCCAAGGGTCTAGTTCCACTGGATTTATGCAAGGTTGACATACCTCACTTATGGAAGTACAGACCTTATTCTTCACTTATGGCCTGACACCTTACAGTGAGAAAAAATAGTCAGTGTAAACTCAACTTGCCAAACTCAATCTAAGCCCATTTCCTTCCCTATTCTCCTCAATACTAATATCCTCAAGCATTACAAAACAAAACAAAGCACCCAGCAAAGCTCTTTAAAACAAAGTGTCCAGGACCTGAAACCATTTGCATTGGAGTCAGTTGCAAAAATCCCATTATTTACCCCTTTATGGTCCTTTGACTCCAATTGAAAGATAAATGGTCACCCCAGAATTTGACATTTCTCATAATATAGTTGTTTTGCAAAACCACAAACTGTATTTGTTTTTTAATCGGAAAGGGGCTTTATAATGGATGTCCTAACTCCATCCCGCAACCTGATCCCAGCAACAGTGCTGGGTGTAACAGTAACCACTGCATTCATGACACACTCATCCATAACATGTGACCTTTGTAACCCTGACCCAGATCATGTGCCGGAGCCAGGAAGTAAAGTTTCAGTTAGTTTCTTGCCAGCACTTGTGTGTGTTTAATACTGACAAGAGGGGACACAATTTAAAGCCTAATTTTCAAAAGTGCACAATACTCAACAACTCCTGTTACTCTAAAAGGGAGCTTTTGGGTGCTGAACTTTTTTGAAAATCAGGCCATCTGTGATAGGTGTTTTAGGAATCCTTTCTTTGGGTGAAGTTCCCTGTCCCACAGAGACATAGATGGGAGCACAGGGACTTTGGGGGAAAGGGGACAATTTTAAAAGGCACAAATGGAAACCAGGTACTTACAATGGGAGTTGGACACCCAACCTTGTGCCTTTGAAAATTCCCTGAGAATATTCAGAATCTTACAGTTTGGGCATTTCAGGAACATCCATTTTTAGGCTGCTCATATAGGGGATAGTAGATAATACAAGCCTATTTTCTCATAATCCAGTAACACAAGGACCCTGGTGGGCTTTAAGGCTTCTCAGTTTCTGGTAGGAGTCAAATATTCTTTTTATTTTTTAATTGACAAATGTCGCTGTTAAGTGGTTATGATGAACCAAAAGCCCACATTGCGAAAAAAGCATTTAAGGTATTAAATGCCTTCTCCATACATCTCTAGCCACAATGAAATGTTTTAGAGACCATCACTATATGGAAAAATTATTTGTGGGGTGAGGGAAAGCATTCCACACAGTACTGCTGCTGAAATTATTTTAGGCAACGTCACATGAGAATGAAGTGAGAATACAGCCCTCCTCTCAGACACAACATAATGTTTTATGTTCCCCTGATAGAGTATTTTGCTACTGCACCACAGTCACAAAGGCCTGTTTCTATAGCCTGTTTCCGTACATTATATGCAGCAAGTGCTTCAAGCTCTGAATAACTTAATAAAAGGACATTTAAGGGTTATCCAGATACTCTAAGTCTGTCACTTTGGGCAGTTAGTCAGTTTGTCTGCTAATAAAGTACAGAGCATTCTGTCTTCCCCTAAAAAAATCCCTACTTCTTCTATTCTCTGTTGGCGCTACATGAATTTACTCTGTACGTAGGCATTACTGGAAGGAGAAAACAAATTTTAAAAGTTTTGCAACTGGTTTATATATTAAGAAATGGGCCCCCCAAATTATTACTGTGTAACAAAGTCAGCATTCAGAAAGATCAAAAGCATTCAGATGATGTTAAAGCTATATAGCACAAATTCTCCCCTAATTCTCTCCTTATTCCACACAGAGGATCAGATCCTTGTGTCCTCAGTGAAACATATGGATATGAAGGGGAAAAGTAGCTCTAAGCCACCTTGTGTTTTTCTGGGACTGACTGGGGTGTTAAACCAGCCATCAGTGTAATTTAGAGCAGCCTACAGGCTGCTCGAGATTATAACAGCTAGAACTGGCCCTAAAAAACTACTCCATTGGTTGGGAATCACTAGTCATGCCCCCTTTCTCACTCAGTCATTACCATACCCGAGCAGGAAGGCATCCTGTGTTGATATTGCACTGTCAAGGGATTACCTGTTAGGAGAATCCCCAGATGACATTCTGGGGCATCTCTCTATGACTGGCTGAGTGACAGAACCAGTGGGTATGATCTGACCCAGAGTATTAATACCAAATTTTGCACCAACTTACATCCTGTGCAGTACTCTGTTGGAGCCGAAGGGATTTCAGAGGGTGTCAAAATATATACTTGGGCACATTCCTTCAGCATATGCAAAGCTACCAGAGAAGCAAGTTAAACCTACTCAGACTTCGCAGTTTTAAAATTGTCAGGTGGAGCAGAACTGCTCCCCCTTCGTTAGTGAAAGCAGTTAGTAGAGCTGTGCTGGAGGAGCAAAAGATCAGTCTCAGGACCAAGCTACATAACTAACCCCTTTGACATACACACATGTGCCCAAAACAACTCCAAAATCCACTAGCCGTCTGCTGTCAGGAGGAGAACATAAAAACCTAGATGGTATGCTCATTTAGTATATGGCTGTACAGCACCCTGCACAATGGGACCCAACCTGCTGGTGACCTTCAGGTGATATACTGCAGTATAAATATTAAATAATATATCTGGATTAGGGGAAAGACCTGGGAAGAGAAGGAAAATGTGTATGTTTGGAAGCAAATACAGGATCAGATACTTCCAGATCCACTCCTATACACAAGTATTCCCATTGATTTCGATGGAGCCACAAGCAGAATAAGATCCTACTTAACAGGAATAAGGCTGACAAAAGTTGGCAGCAAAGAAAGTTAGAGACCCAAGTCCTAGAGAGGTGTTTAGGCTTTGTAACAGAAAGGGAAATGTGCAGAGGAGATTGTGAGGAAGAGGGAGGGCTTTTAATATACGCAGAGTACTTGGTGAAGAAGGAAAAATTGTCTCCAGTTGAACTAACTCCCACTTGGAAATTTTGCCTAAGGGAAGGAGCAAGTTTAGTCCTTTGTGAAACAGGAAGGATGAATCTAGATGCCCCAGCAGTGTGTATATTAGAGATGGACAGATAGAGAGTGTAGATAAAGATAAAGATAAAACTATTTGACGATGATAGAGCCTTACATTAATGTCAACGTATGAGGATTCAGCGAATACTATAAAATGAATATATATATCGGAAGTCAAACATGGTTGCATGTGGGACAGACGAAAAACTGACCATGACCATTGCAGGTTATTATATGCTTGCTCTGTGCTGTTCCAGTTGTTCGCATAAGGTGCTGACATGCCTTGCTTCAAGAAGGTTAATGGCAAAATGACA